GGGGGGTGGACACAGAGGTGGTCGTGGCTTCGAGGGAAGTTCCCCGAGACTGGAGCCTGGACGGGAGGCTGGAAGGGAAAGCAGGTGTGGGATATTGGGGTCTCTGCTGCCACAGGTAGAAATTACAGGTAGTCCCATTTCCAAAGTGTTGCTAATGCAACACTGCTTCCTTGGGAGGTCAGTATTTATTTCTTGAAATAGGAGTCTCCTGATCAGTAACTTTGAACAATACTGAACAGGGCCCAAAGAAGCAGGTCTCGTGAGCTAATGTACACGTAACTCTCCATAAAATACATGACATGCTGAACATACGTGTGACCGTGGAGCCCACTCTATTGCCACAGGCAACGTCTCGAGGGGCTAGTGAGCTCTGGGACTACTCTGGAGAAGTGATGGGAAGAGAGGGCAGCCTGAATAACATGAAGAAAGGCCAGGCATTCTGAATAAAATCCTCAAGCATCAGCACATAAATTCAGTACGCTGCTTACTTGACACCTGGATGCCTCTCTGGAAACCTTCATATAAGGTTCTGACATCATCGTAGAAATACTCCAAGGGCTCGTCACTGTCAAGTAGCGTGGATCTCCGAGCGCCATCACTGCCCTATAAAAAAAGACAGACAGATGAGCATGTTAGGGGAAAGCATTAAACATAAGAGCCTAACTCGCCCACCCGTGATCCCCCAGCGGCCCTGTGGAGCAGCTGCCCAGCGAGTGGAGCGTTTGTCGAATGAACTGAGGTGCAGGCTGTGGCGCAGACCACTGATTTTGCGTTTTCTCTTTGCCAACTGCACTATCATTCGTTAGGAACTTCGGTTTCTCACAGAGCATCTACCAGTCGCGACCATCAGCTACAAGGCACAGGGTGTGCAGGCCCGTCTGTGCCCGTGTGATGTGCAGCCCCGACAGGTGGCAGATCTGATGCCGCGGGGTGCCCTTCTGCGCCCGCCTTCCCCGGTGGCTCAGTGAGCACACCTGCTCGGTGCCAGAGCTCCTGACCAGTGGTCCGAGCCACCTGGAGGGGCAGTTGTTTTCACCCTGGGCCAGAGAGACACTACACGGGGTCCAGATGTCTACAGGAACGTCAAGCATTCTTCGGAGTCCGATGAATAAAAGTTCAGCTATTATGATGCCAGAGCCTATGATTCTTTTTTCATGTCCGAGACAGGCTTCACATTTGCAACAGTCAGGAAACACTTTCTTGGGGAAATGAGACTATGATACAGGGACTTCTGGTACCACAAGAAAGGACTGTTCAAAAGTGGGAGACATCGTCTCTGGCTTGAGGTTTGAGGAAAGGAGACAGGAAAGCCTTCGAGAAGAGGCAAAGGGCTAGGTCTCAGAGAGCAGACAGGCTGTGCAGGCAGAGCTGGTGGGAACCAGACGTACTGCAGGGGGAGGACCACGTGCAGACCCTCGTACGGTAACGGCTGCCACACGTTTGAGTGGCTTCCTTTCCTTTGTTTTTTTGAATTAGAATTCTTACTCCTCCCACATGCTCTCTTTCCTCCCCTCCATCTATACAGTGAAAATTGTTTTGAATAACACAGTAGTATATGAAGGGAAAAATGACAAGCCCCTATTACCAATATGGTGAGTCCCTTCTTGACTTTTTTCTATGTTTATAAATTTATATACATTCTTTCAGTATCTGCTAGTTGCTACATATGTGTATTTAACTCGATCTAAAACTGTGAATAATTTTCTGGAGTAAATATCACCCCATCATATATTCCAATGTTCACATGGTCTTCTCTAACTTGGCAGAAACTTTCTAATACCTGTAGCCATGATTCCAAATATAATTATTATACAACATGCTGCTTTAGAAAACAAAGCAGTTATTCTTTGCATAAAGATGGAAATAGAATCATGCATCACTGTCACTTAATCTGAGTCTGTTTTCTCTTCTGTAAAATGGGGATTCCATGTGTCCATGTCCAGGGCTATCTTTAACCACAACTTTCCTGTTTCCTATAAAATACGAATATTAGACTATTACTCAGACACCCAGTAACATGCTCTAACTACAATACCAGTCCACCTTAGCCAATATCTTTCTTTGCTACAAAAAATATTCAGACGAAAATTCAGAAGCAATTTTGTGGCTTTATAGTAAGATTCAGAAACCTCTTCAACCCAGGAAGCCACCAAAAGACCCAGGGCATCGTGACTAAGAAGGTAGAGAAAGGGCTGGGAATGAAATGACAGAATGGAAGCAGGAAAGAGCTAAGAAAAGTAAGAGATGGGAACAGCCGGGTGAAGAGGGACAGCTGCCACAAACAAAGGCCTCTGCCTGCTGGGCCTGCAGTGTGTGGCCTGGAGGTGCAGGCAGCCTGGCCGCATTTTCTCTGTAAAAGCAATACCTCCCCCCATGCCCTCTGCTGAGTCGTGCCCACAGCTGTCAACTTTGAAGGCTGGAATGGGGAGGGGGGGGGTAAGACACAGAGCTTGCTCTTACGGAGCCTGACGCCTATCCTTACGTGACCAGAGCTGTTCCCATGGGCACTGGCTGAGCAGGAGAGTGGGGAGGAAGTCAGAATGGACCAAGAGAAGCAGCCTGGAGTCTATGGAGCTCGGCTCACCCTAGAGCTAAGGCCCTCGAAGGCTCATCGGGGAACACACAGTCCTTGTAAGGAAAGCAAAAGAGCTGGTCCTTGGCCAGATCCATGGAATCAGAGACTCTGGGGGTGTGACTCAGCAGTCTGTGTTTTAGCAAGAAACCTACAAGGAGTGTGAGCAGTGTGCAGAGCAGGACGGAGGGAAGCGTCTAGGGAAAAACCAACACACACGGGCCCCGACTAGGGCAGTGGCAAGTGGGATTGGGGAGAAGGCAGGCACCGGAGAACGAAGCCCCAGGGCATGGGGTTTGGCAAGTAACAGTCTGAGAAAAGGAGGAGAAGGTTGGAGGACCAAGAAGACAGTAGTTCCATTTTATCAAAAATAGAAGACTGGGGGTTGGGGGTAGGTTTAAGAAAAGAGATTAAGCTCAGCTTTCGATGCATGGAGACTATATCCCTTCAAGATAGGAGGTCAGCTTCCCAATGCTCATTTTGGGAATCACCGCTCTAGAGTATAACCTGATAATAAACTTCTGGCTAAATAATTATTTGCTTAGGTTAATTTTTTGGTGGCATATAATGCTCAGGACTTTGAGAAACATGGAGATAAAACAGTCAAACAGAAGTGAAAGGAGTTATATCCCAGATAAAGCCATCCTCTTGACAACTATCCTGAAGACAAGCTATTTATTATTATTCTAATTAGCAAGTAGCATAATTAGCAAAAGTTTGAAGATGAAGCAGTACATTGGTTCTATGCCAATTTAAGGCATAGGTGAAACTGGGTCAATGTCGCATTGCCCTTGGTTGTAAGGCACATTCCATAGTTTCGAGAAGAAACGCAATGAAACAGGAGTAGCGGAGACCGAGCAGCATGCTTTGAAATGTGTGGCTCTGTGAAATGACCACGTACGTGTTCCTGTAAATAATTATTTTTTATGTGCACGCACGCAGCCATTTTCCCCCCTGTAAGTAAACGCTGGGGGTCAGGGCCTTGGTCTCACCTGCCAGGGGCAAGGGACTGCAGCTGAGTGTTGGGAAGCTTGTTTGTAACAACTGGACTCAAAATATCTGCATGTGCTACAGAAATCAAGCCATTACAAAAGCTGGGCATTTAATTCTGGGGTTACTTAAGCACACATGCGTATTTCTAGGACCATCCACTTAAATTTTAAAAAATACTTCAAATTTGGCCTTCTGGGCTTCTGATACAACCTGCAGATTGGGGGTGGAGGTGGGGGTGTCAGTTTTGCTCAAGAAACAGGGTGAGGTAAGCAGATAACCCCAATCAAACATTCGGAAATCAGTGAGCAAGACTGTGAGTCAGGAAGGGTTATGGGACTTTACTTCTGCTATGCCCTTCAATGCGACCATACAGTTTCTCAGTTTAAAAAACACACACAAACGATGGTGGGTCAAGCCTCCTACAGTCAAATCGGGGGTCATTAGTATATTCGTATATTCTGATGTATATACTAATGTATTCATTAGTATATTAGTATATTCTACCCAGGCTGAGGTTCCCCCCCCTCCAAGGCTCCCCATGTGGGCTGAATTAGGAAACGTAAGTTCCAACTCCCCTCTGGGCGGGGGGCAGGGGAGGGGCAGCAAGAGCAGGACACTGATGAACGCCTGTGTCAGTGGTCCCCAGACTAGGACTCTAGCCATCACCTGACAAAAAGGAACTTGATGGTCAGAGGCATTCTGAGTCACTCCCACATTTAAATGCAAAAGCAAATCCCACCCTCGAAGATTTCTGGGGGACAGGAAGGCCCAAGCTTTATAAATTGTGGTCTTGCCCATCTCCACCTAGAAGATGGATAGCTACAGGCCACAAGGCAACCCTTACCCTGTTTACTCCCTCCAAGGAGGGGGGGCTGGGCAGGAAGAAGAGGGACTCTGGATGAGGGAGGAGGGGAAGGAAGAGAGAGCAGAAAGAGGGGAGAGGACGCAGTAACTTCTAAAGAGACTGCTGGCGACTTGGCTGGATTTTAATGTGAAATCTATCTTGGGGGGGGAAGCAGCAGGTGTAACCACAGTCCTATAGGGGTAAAAATGGCTTCCCCCCCACTTCCAGTATCCTCCATGTGAAACAGACTCCTCCCAGCATTACAGTTTACATGCCTCTTACCCTGCCCACACCATCATCTGCTTCTTCCTGTCAACAGGCGCAAAACTACTTTCTCATCCAAGGACCTCAAGATGGGCTCTCTGGCCATCAGTTCTCCTATCCAGCAGCACCAGATCTCTGACAGATCAAAAGAGGGCCTAGGAAAGCCAGCCCCCAGGTGACCCTCCCACCATGCTTTTTGAACGACAATGGAAAGAATATTTAAAAGAATACTTAGACTGCCCTGTTATGCTGACCTGTAAATGTCACAGGGTAGTACTGGACCCTCAGGTTGACTATTTGTGCTCACCATTTAACTAGCTAACTTCCCAAGTACTGTCACAGCTGGTGCTGTCATCTGAGCGAGTGCTTACTGAGCACCTACTACAGGCCAGCCACTTTGCAGGTGAGAAAACAGACGGAGAGGGGGGCTTTCTTGTCCTAGTACCACATCCAAAACGCGGCGGGGAGCCGAGCTTCAGACCCAGCTCCTTGGGCCACCTGGTAAGTTACGAGATTTGTCTGTGCCTCATAAGCAGGTTCAAACAGCCCCCACGTTGGTCATCTTCATCTTCGAGGGGACAGGCCCAGGCTGCTTGAGCCTGACTGGGTTTTCTGGTTCCTCAGTGCTCTCCCCTGATCCTCTGAAACGTTTTCCAACTTCCCGAGCTCCCGCTGTCCCCATCAGAGGACTCACTTAGGCATGGGAAGGCTGACGGTACTTAGCAAACTCCAGTTCTGCGCTGCTAAACCCACCTCAGTCTCATCCCCAGAGAAAGTCAGCCACCCACAGAAGGGAAAATAGCACCTCCTGCCCCCCATGAAAGGGGAGAAAGTTTGGAGTCCCCAAATCCAAATCCCCACAAACACAGAGTGACCTAGCAAAACACAACAGCCTGGGGCTCCTCCTCACGCCTGCCATCTAGAATGTGC